GTTCATTCTGCAGGTCCGTCGTTTGCATCAGAAAGTTGAAGGTTCCAACCTTTGTGGAAAAAGTCTAAGTCTTGGGCTACGGAAGGGACCTACGGACCGTATGTCAATCCACGGTCCTTAGGTCAGTCTCATCGATTGAAGTCGTGTCCAGCAGTTTATTTCTTTATTTTGTTTACTTTTTATTTGAGACAAGTTTTTCTATAAATAGGGTATGTAAACCTCGTTTTGGTGGTTAGCTACTATTGTTTAACTTTAGTTCTTGGTGTGTTCTTGGGAATTAACTTGCAAACATTAGCAATTTGATTTCCTCATTTCTCTTTGGAAAGATTCATGCTTTGATTTTCAATTGTAGATTACGGGTTTCTTCTACTCATTAAGTAAGTTCATAAATTCTTCTTCTAAATATATGAATTGTGTTCTTGGTAGTATGGGTAACTAAATCCACAACTAAGGTTTTGGAAACCATGAACGATTAACAAAGTATGAATAGTAACAAAATAATTCTTAAATAGTGTTGTTGCATCCATTGATAATTCTTTCGTTTAGAAGTATTTTTAATGGTGGCCAACGTTAGAACTCGCCTTGTTGCTACTTGCCGGACCAAGGAGGTAGTTAATAAGAAAACAATTATCAACATAGATTTAGTGTGACACTATTTAATAGTCTAATGTCAATTGGTGCAAGGGTGAAAACTAAGCCATACATTGATGTGATGTCAAATATGAGGTAAAGGTAAGGGTTAGTAAATTATACACACGTAGCCAGACCAAGGTGCGGGGTGAAATTCTCTATTTTCCGGACCAAGGACTTAGGGATACATAACTTACCACTTTGCATATGAAACACTAGGAAAGGATCACTATTACTAGGATTACCACATTATGAGCTTATGGGGAATACTTACACCCTAGTTTCTTTCTCTCATTGATAACAACTAAAGTTCAAATCTTGCTCACTTGTTGTCTAAACTACAATCAGTTATTTGTTACACAACCCCCCCCCCCTTTACTTACTTGTCTCGAAAATATATTGACTACATGAATATAATCGTAGGTTAAGTTTAAGTCTAAACCATACTCCTCGTGGGATCGACCCCAACCTACAAGTTGGGTTCTTTACTTGATAACGATCGCTTATACTTCTTTAGTTAGGTAAAATTTAAGAGTATGAATCAACATCTCAACATCAGTTATGAGCATAAAATAGGAATTTAGGACACTAAATCATTTATTAATAATTCCTAAATGAGTAGAAATTTCTGACTCATCAAATGGCCATACCAAGTCCTACATGAAGTTTTAGGGATGTCCACCTCCCTAATTCTTAGCTGGTGGTAGCCCAATCTCAAGTCAATCTTATAGAACACCACTATACCCTGAAGCTGGTTGAATGAATCATTAATTTGTGACATGGGATACTTGTTCTAGATGGTCTCCTTGTTAAGCTGCCTTTAGTTAATTAACATCACAAGGTACCATTCTTTCTTCTTCATGAATAAGACACGTGCACCCTAAGAGATACACTCGGTCGGATTAACCCCTTTCCCAAGATGTCTAAGACCTGCTCATTAAGCTCACTCAACTCAGTTGGAGCCATTCGTAAAGGGAATTAGAAACTCTTTATGTACCCAGCTCAACGCCAATCACAAAATCAATATCAGGATTAGGATGAAGACCCGGTAGATCAGTAGGAAACACATAAATAAACTCACTAACCATATGAATTGACTAAAGAGAAGGAATATCAGCACTAGTATCACAGACATAAACAAGGTAACCTAAACACCCATTCTCTACAAACAACCGAGCAATGATAAAAGTGATCGCACCCCTCAGCATATGACTATCAAAACAGGTGCATACCAGAGGAGAAATACCAGGCATACAAAAACTCACAATCATGGAGAAATAATCCAAGATCACATTACAGGGAGACAACTAATCCATGCCTAGAATCACGTCGAAATCCACCATATCTAACGCAATAAGGTCTAAAAAGGTATCACACCCCAAAATGATCACTACAAAAGTTCTATAAACCCGATCCACTACCAAAGAATCACCTATAGGGGTAGCTACATGCATAGGCACATACATAGGCTCACAAGAAGAAACGAAACACAACGCATAATAAGTAGACACATATAAAAACGTAGACCACATATCAATTAAAACATAAGAAGGATGATGGGATATAGAGATAAAACCTGTTATAACAACATTCGAGGTTTCTCCCTCTGGCCTCTTTGGAAAAGAATATATATGACCACCGAGACCACTCCATCTTCCTGCGTAAGGACCACCAACAGTACCTTGGGGACCACCCCTAGTACCCTAAACAGGAGCTCTGGGGGCTTGTCCCTACTGGCAATATGGACCTAACTTATCCTACCTCCCATGATGATTGATCATGGGACACTCTCGAGGAAACAGACCAACAACACCACACTCTTAGAAAATTTTACTAGGAGTGCCCCTTTGGAAAAACTCGGTTGAACCTAACTGGATGCCACGACTTTAGTACCCTTACTATGATGCCTATGAATTTTAAACCATCTGACCACTTGCACCTGCCATGCCACCTTTAGTAATCAGCAGAGCTACTTGAATCGGCCTACTAGGTGGATACTTCCCTTGATACCCTCGGCCCTTAAACCCTCTATTTGGATACACTACACCATTTTAGTCCTAAGGCCACACTAAATCTAGACAACACTTATAAAGTGTTGCCAAAAATATTTTTGGGTACACTTTTAAAGTGTATCTTTAGTTTTTAGCTTTTGGCAACGATAATATTGGCAACCCTTGTAAAACGTGCTCTTTAGTAGTATAGGCTACACTTTATAAACGTTGTCAGATTATGATATAATTGACAACACCTATTTACACATATGACTACACTTTTAAAGTGTGCTATTTTTATAATTTTAAAAACAACACTTTACAAGTGTAGCATTATAATTTTCCCAAAATTTTCACTAAAATATTGTATTCCCTCCAATATATTTAACTGCCCCCCCCCCCCTTAATTTCTAATTTGTCAATAAAGGAACTCATAAAAGAAATATTATATACAAAGAAATATACTCTAAAAAACATTTTACCCCAAATTAACATAGGAGCTGCTCTTTATCTATATCAAAATAGGAGTTATTTTTTTGCCCAAATCAAAAGTTTTTCCCCAAATAAAAATCTCATACCCTAAACCCTACAAGTTAATCCATTCCTTGCTCTGAATGTAGAAGAAACACAGTCGTTACTCTGAATCGTTCAAATGGGTACTTGAAAGGGGAGTCATAGATAGAGAGAGCGTGGTCTCATTGGAAGAAGCTAGGAGAGCCCAAACTTATAGTGGGACCAATAGATGACAACTCGGAGCTTTCTTTCCGTCTTCTATGTTGACATATCGATGATGTACACAGTTGCTTGGAAGAAACTGGTGTTGATGGGGTACTTTCAGTAGATCCTCTTCTTGAGAATCCAACCCTCTTTGCTGGATATCGAACTGCTGAATGGGGATTGTGTGTTGCAGGAATGAAGGAAGACGATAAGCTAGATCATGCTGAGTTACTGATAGAATATTTGAGGTTTTGTGAGCGATATCCAGTGCCTTGGAGAATCATCCATTCTCATGTACACAAGTTGTTGGGAGAGTGGTTTATGATCCAGCCAAGTGTGCAAGAGGATTTTAACAAACAATACAATCTCACCTTTGAATTTCTTTATGATTTAGTGAACCGATTAAAGGAACTTGGGGTGAGAATACCACTTTATGCGGAAGGATACTCAGCAGGCAGTATTTGCAAAATGACTTGTTACTCAAGTTCTGTTCTAACCTGAAATATGGAGCCAGGTATGGTGAATCACCAGGTTAGTTTTCTCACTCCAGCTCGTTCTTGAAAAATGTTGTACGCTCACTAATGTTGGTCAGAGAAGGTGCAGGGTTAAACGTATCTCAACATTTTATCTCATGTTTTGTATAATTATATACTGACTTTTTTCTCGTATCATTGAGATAATTTACACACTTTTTTCGTACATCTCTATTTGTTTCCTGACTAATTATTTGTAAGGTGACTAAATTGTTATCCAATAGATGCAATTGGACTGATTATTTGTGAGGTTATGCTATAGTGCTTCGACCGTATGATCAAGACCTCCTTAGTTTATTTTCCATAAAGTGAGGTGCTGGGTGCTTGAAGTGTCAAGAGCACCATGTAGACAACTTTACTCTCTGCTAGTATATCTTATCACACATTCCATAGGAACTCTTACCATTGTTTCTTGTCATTACTGCATATGAATATGTAGTTAACATCTTGATCAAGTTTTTAAGTTGAAGCCTAAGGTGATTACTTGATTTACCAAGCATTGTCTTTGAATGTTGATACAATAATTAATAGGATCAAATTTAATTTCATATGCATCATTACATCTCTTTCATTGTGCGAGACATTAGATATTGTGCCTTAGGAATATGATGATAGAAGTTAATAAAGAATGTGAACTGATCATCTGAAATCTTTATAGGTTTCACATTGATAGTGAACTGGCCCTAGCTTACTGTCACAGAATAGTACTTACTGAATTTTTTTAATTTTTTTTAACTTTAAAAGGGTATAAGTATAGCACCAGACAGCATAATGTTATATTCCTGCACAAACTATGTTATATCTATCTGCATATCCAAATTCTTAATAACTGGCCAGATAATGAACCAACTCGACCAAGACTAGAAAAGAAAGAGATGAGTTTAACTAAAATATATATGCTTCAACTGTGGTAATACTTGCGACCTTAACTAAAATGACATTGATAGTAGCAACAATATCTATGCTGGTTCTTTGAATGTTCAAGGGTCTGTTAATGATGAAAATGCCCTAGCTTCTGTAAGAGTCAATCAGCCTGATTCTGTTTCTGTTTCTAAGATTCAAAGAGAAGTTCCTAGAAATGACAAGTGCTCTGACTGTGGTGCTTCAGAACCTGATTGGGCTTCTTTACATCTTGGCATCCTAATTTGTATAGAATGCTCGAGCATTCATCGGAACCTTGGTGTTCATATCTCAAAGGTATATTTTTATCCATGTTGAAATTTCTTTGTTCCTCTTGTCTACAAACATCTGCCTTGTTCTTAAAAAAAAGATTAATTCCATTTAGTTCACGGTGTTTATTCAATTTTATACTGGTCCACATGCATTTATATTTGAGACGATGAGTATTTTCATTACTTTCATGACAATACACTATTCATTATAGAAGGTTAATAGCTATTGAATCTTTTTTGGAAATGTATTTTGAAGTATAACTTGTTTTCACTTACTGTCCGCAGAAAGTAACAAAATGAAAGATATATGGGCATGTTGAGTTGATTGATATTTGAGATACTTATCATTTGCAGGTAAGGTCCATATTATTAGATGTCAGGGTTTGGGAGCCTACCATCTTGGATCTATTCCGCACATTGGGTAATTCTTATTGTAACTCGGTGTGGGAGGAGTTGCTTCAACTTCCAAGTGACGGGTATGTACCCTTAGTTGATAATATATACAAGAAAGTCATTCTTGTATGGGTATAAATTTCTATAGATCTTGTATGTTTATTGATATTTGGGTTCAGATTTAATGTGAAAGGTCCTCTCCCAGCCAAGAAAAGACGAATTGTTGAGAGATATCAAAGATCACAAAATTCCAACTTAACAGTTCCCAAGATTATTTCCACACTTCTATTCATTCTTCAATTGAACTAGTTAATATACAATCTATTTTTCCATTACAATTTGACATTCTACCTGGGTCAGCCTATCTATTAAGTACACATTGTCAGATAGATAATGTTCCCATGTGCCATTATGCTATAACATTCATTTAGCTCAAATATTTTTAGAAACTATGTTTTGCTGGTGTTACCTCATGTAAAATGACTAATTCATTCAGATTAACAAATGTTGATGCTATTCAATCTGCTTCCAAGCCAAGCCCCAAAGATGCCTTTCATGAAAAAGAGAAGTATATTTTGGCAAAGGTATACTTTCTTGCATGTTTTAAGGGTATTCCTTCTCCATGTTATACATTTTATCCCTTGTACTAAGCTTGATCATCCATCAACTCGGTCTCCTTGTTTTTCCATGGAATTCTACAAAGAGAATCTCATGATCATTTGTCTGTTGTTTCATTAGTGGTGGAGGTCCAATGGAGAAACAGTGTGTCTTCCCACTTACTGTGAAAGAACTATTTAAACAGTGTGTCTTTCCTGGTTTATAGCAACAGAAATAGTTGACAGGTTGTGACAGAAAAAACTTTGGTTTCTTTTCTCTCTAATCTAATCCCAGGCAGACGAGCAAGTGAATTCTCCATTTGCATTGGGCTTCCAGATTGGTTGATCATAAACCATGGGCTGGTAGTGAATTTGAGTCACAAGAATGGTCGCAACAAGATCTGAAAGTGCAGTTTTAATGATCTTTTCGATATCCCAGGTTCCATTGATAAAAAAAGCATACACTTTGATGTTGAGTTTCCTCTTTTTCCATGCTTTGTTTTGTGCGACTGCTATCCTGATTTACATGTCTGCATTAAAGTATCTTGTGATTTTTCTCCTGCTGCCCCTGTTCTTTGGCCTGAAGTGGACTACGAAATTTTGAAAGTCTTTTGGCCATTAAATTTTCATTTGTAAACTGTAATCTGAAACCTGCAATCTAAAACTGTAATCTGCAATTTGGGATTCAAAAAATCTGCATTCTACAATGTGGAACTACTGCAATATGGAATCTGGAAGTTCTTGCCTCCTCTATAACTGCTGCAATCTGATTTGTTGTACATTTTAAATGTGTAGGGAAATGGAGGTGATCAAATTTGAAGGGTCGCCACAAGTCAATTTGATCTCATTGAAGTGGATGATGAAGAGTTTTTGAACTATTGTAAAACTTTGAATACATTATGTTTGATTTTGTGAAATATATTCATTGCTAGAATATATTGAACTATTGTAAGAGTGCTTTTTTAACTATTGTGTATACATATTTAGAATATTGCTTTATAAGTATGTGTATGTACATAAGACATGATACTATATTTTGAAGTTTATTGCAAATTTATATATTTGAATTACTTATTAGCCAATTTAATGCTTGAGATTATTTATTGCAAAATAATATTGGTGTTTTTTAATTAGAAATTGTGGCATATAAATATTTTTCACCCAAAATAATATAACCACACTTAAAAGTGTGGCCATAGAACTGTAAATTGTGGTATGCACATGGGCAAGGACTACACTTCAAAGTGTTGTCATACATTAGATATGAGATAGAAATGTTGCTATTGGAGGTACTGAAAAGCGTGGCCTTTTTTCCTTTTAGGCTACGCTTTTAAGCGTAGCTGATTAGGCAACACTTTTCAAGTGTTGCCTAAACTCTAAGGTTACGCCTTTTTCAGCCACTCCTGGAAAAATGTGGCTTAAAGTAAAAAAGTGTGGCCTTTTATCAAAGGCCACACTTTTTCATAGTTTAGGCCACACTTTTCTAGTGTGGTTGTAGACACAAAATGTTGTAGTGATACTACGACCCAATGTAACCACCTTTACAATGAGGCCTCTTGTCACTGCCTCACAAGGATCTACGATGTAACCCCACAATGGTACTGGCATGATCAACTACCTGCAAAAATGAACAATTTGATGCCACCATCTGATATTTCACCAATATAAGTTGAAAAGATAGCCTCCTGACAATTATGTGAACTCTCTCTTGCTCTATCGACATAAGCATAGACACATGTCACATGAACTCATGGAGTCGTGCCTCGTACTATACAACTGTTAGTGATCCCTGAGTCAGATCAAAGAACTCATCCCATAACCGCTCCCTCAAGCTACAAGGTACATAATTCTTCAAGAAAGCCTCAGAGAACTCAGACCATGTTATCAAAGGTGACCTGGTGGTCGGCAATAGAAATATGACCTCCACTAGCTTCGTTGGCCCCTCTAGCTTGTAAGCATTGTAATCAATTCCATGTGACTCTATTAACCCTAGGTTATGCAACCTCTCCTCGCAACTAACTAAGAACTCATTGACATCCTCATCCGCACACCGATGAACCTGGGAGGACCCAATCTGATAAACCTCCCCATCATCTTCTACTCGTCATGTATCATAGCTAGCCTAGGGGTAAAAGGTTGAGCACCAGTTGAACTACAATGTGAGGACATGTAACTTCATGATGTGCTTGAGGAGCCTGAATACCATGTGCCCCTTCCAAGGCTGACGTTTGAGCCTCATCTCTAACATGAGGTTCGACTGAAGTGCTAGGTATAGTGCCTGCCTGAAACATACAATCCATAAATATGAGGATCCTGGCCAAAGTAACGTGAAGTACTGGCATGACAACAAATCTTGGTGGAGGCTGGGCTAACCCCACAACCTCTTGATGATGGTAAACATGCTCAACCTCGCACTTGAGTTCTAAGACTAGTGCCCAATCTCGGTTTCTAGGTGGACCTCTAACTTTGCCCTAGCTAGGGCTCTACCGGAAAGTCTATGCCCGCCTGTGGTCAATCTCTTCCTAGCAATCTGGGAACGACTGAAACAATTTGAAGTTTAGAAGTTGGTACAACCATCAACACATGATAAGAACCAAGAAATACTGATGTATTTCTAAGAGTGTCGTATACCCTCTTGATGAATGGATATGGACGTCATCATATTGATCCTAGAGAATCTACTAGACACCTACTCCTATACTTGTGACATCACTGAACCTAAAGCTCTGATACCACTCTATCACGACCCAAAGTCAGGCCATTATGGCGTTCACCACAACCCACCTAAGGAAAAGCCTAACCCAAGATCACAAGATGTGAAACACACCATTTATATAGAACATAACAAAATAACGCAGAAATACGAGATTAATATATATATATATACACACACATATATATATATACAAAATGAGGAAAACAACAAGTCTCTGAATGCTAGGAGCTCACCATAATCAAAGTCTAGCACGGCCATGGGAGATCCAAATGCTCACTACTGAGGGTTGATCGAACTGGGAGCTGCATCAAAAAAGATACAGAAGTGCAGTATGAGTTCTAAACATGGTGTACCCAGTAAGCATCATAGGTCGACAAAGCTCAAAAATATAAAATATAAATAAGAAGCATGATGAAACTAACAAGGGAAGAGAAATCTAAGGAAAATCAAGCTAATAAACGGGAACATGTAAGATAGAATCAACACGCAGCAAGAATACACATGAACCATACAACCAACACACCCAAAGTCAACTAATGCAACACAAAGATTTCAAAATTCAAAATAATGACATAACCTAAGCCCGAAAAAAAACATCAAGCCGCCTGTATTAATACATCAAGATTATCCGCAAGCTAATAAAGTTGATATGTTCATCAATAGGCTGCTCGGTATGTCATATTGAGCTTTGTAACACCCCTAGATACTAACCAAGAGTCGAATGTCGATTTACCGTTGCTTAATTACTAGAATATGTTTTACTCTCATTTTTGGGAACTTGAGGTGTTGTGATAATTGCCAACTTGCTTAGCATAAATTCTTATCGTAATTTAAGGATTTGTGATGGGGTGTTTAGGTAATATTCTAATTCGAATTATGTTTAACTTTAAAAGGAGATGAGGTATATATATAAGTGTATATGTATACATTTTGGGCAGCACACAATTTTTTGGGCAGCACCTTTGAAGGACAGCTGCCCAAGGGATAAACATCACTTGTTGACTATATATTTTCACCCATCCTTTTGTAATTTCGTTTTCCTCAAGCCTTAGAACTTTAGAAACATATCTAAACAGAGTGTTCTTCAAAATCACAAGAAAACTTGGCCCTTTTGGCTGGAATTCAAGAGCAACACACTTTCTTGTTGGTAAGTGTCGAAATCTGTTTCTGAGCTAGCTAGTGTTTGGTATTTTATGCATTATTTCTCGCTCTAGAACTTAGTTTACAGTGAGTAAATATGATTTGGAAAGCTAATTCGTAGACCTACAACTCCTATGTTTATGTCTTACTCTGATTCAGCTGTTATAGACTCGAAATATGGGACGCAATATATAACAAGTTCTGTCCATATTTTGGAATTTCAAATTCTGTATGAACAGCTGTTAGTGTTTTGACTATATCTTGTTGTACAAAATACATTTTGCGGTGATTCTTGTTT